TTTGTTGTTTCTTGCGGATAAGTGAAGTTTATGTTTCTGTGGATGATTGAATCATTGGTATGATTGTAAACACATCATCTTTTATGGAATGAATGATTCAGTTTATCACTTTTATTCGTTTAAAATGCATGTATAGGATTATCACTTTAATTCTTGTTAATAAATAATGAAACAGATACGGATGTTAAGATTACTTGTGAAAATGACTATGCACACGATCGGTTTGACACCTCAACTTAACAACCAGACGTAAAACCTCATTTTTTTTGGAACCTTGATATTATCTCTATGATTTAATTGTCAAATGTACATCAGTATTTGGTATTCTTGAGGTATACAGTGATCAGACTAAAAAATAGAATCGCTATATAACCAACATTCCTCGGAACACCCGACATAATCAGTGGAGATAACAAAGAAAACTATGGTAAGTCTTGAGCTTTACGGTACTTTTTGAGAGGATATCAAAAATTACTCAAAGTAAGCTTTTTCACTTCCGATCTCTTTCAATAATCTCATTAACCTTACTTTGATTGACGCAACTAAAGTGATCTATTTTCATAATCCACAAGGAACTTTTGTATGCACGTACACATGCATATACTTGAGAAAGGATCTTAGGCCATCTTTGGATCGACTTTGAGCCTTAGCTAATTCTTTTATAAAAATATATCCCTAGTCAGTCATGCTTGAGCCTTAAAACGAATGAATTCTTTTTCGAAAAAAAACCCGTGATGACCGAGCCACAAAAGCATATATCTACCATACCTTGCTATCTAATTTCTTGCATCTTCTTACAAATCAATATAATACAGAAAGACGAGAAAAATAGAAAAGACAATGGTGGCTACTGTTCAATAAAAGGAAAATCGGTGGAAACAACCGAAATAGAAAAGATACAGTGAGACAGGGAATTGCTAAGAAAATGAAAAAAAGAGAAAATAAAAGAAAGAAATCCAATTCCAAGGCAAAATGTCGAGAAGCTAGAAGGAGGTGTGCAACACTGCATAAAAAGATAGTTTTTGATCACCATTGACGTCATGTCATTAGCCACTGACCTCTGACCCCATTACAACCTACAAAAAGTCCTAAGTATCTCAAGTGTGATGCGTATGTATGTTGTCTACTACAAGTGGGGTGTGTTAACTAGAATTTCTTTATTTGCATCAATATTCTTCCATGAGATTATGCCAAGGTTAAGTCTGTTTTCCTCAAAACTTCACTCTTATACTAATTATGCATGAGTTTTTTGATTGACCATTTTCTGATCACATGCCCTTTTGAGAGATAAGTCACTATAATTAGAGCGATTTGTTTTGCTGAGAGCATTCCGAGAGAGGATTGTGAAATCAAAGCTATCAATGGAAGGTGGAAAAAGGGGAATGATTGTTATATACCAATTCTTGTTTCTAGAATGACCATTCTACTACTCAGGAAATTCCAAATGCCAATGTGACAGGTGCTAATTTTTGCATAGAGTAAGTACCAATGGAAAAAAAAATGTAGGGGATAAGTCACGATTGAGGGTTGAGTGTCTTAACGACCATGATGCTAATTCATTTTTTTAGTCAACAATCTCACACACACATTTGTTCGACTGAAGTTTGTGGGTAGCTTCACTGAAAACCCTCACGAGACAACACTCGTCCACTAGGGTAAACCAAGTGGTTCAACAGCTTGTTGCATAAGCTAAATGCAACCGGATGACCTACGAAAAAGGCATTTACATTTCATTGTTGATATATTACTAGAGACTAGCAATATTTAGGTTGGGGGTGTGATTGGTACTTAAATGTAGCATGTTATTATGCCTTTTTTGGACTAATAATACTTTGATGGAGTTTAAATGATGATATTTCAGGTTCTAAAGTGGAAAAAGGGTTCAAGAACAACAAAAATCACATTTGAATGTAACACCAGCACATTAGGGAACAAAATTGGATAAGCTTAGAACAAAGCAAGAACGTTCGAACGTCCACTGGAACAATGACAATACCAGACTGTGAAGACATGGCGTGTTGCAGCATAGAAGAAAGTGCACTTGAGTACCACGTTCGAATGTCAACTCACGTTTAAACGTCCACTAGAACACCTGGGTAATGAGTGCAAAATGCCAAGTCCTGCATGAAGTATGGAAGTGGATTTCCTCAGAGGACCACAGATCACTTGAGTGATATGGTCAAATCCCATCTAGCGTTTGAACGCCCATAAAACAAAAATAGAAGACACATTCGAACGTCAAACAACGTTCAAACGTCCATACTGCAAAAACAGAGACCACGTTCGAACGTCAACCTACGTTCGAATGTCCTGCACAGACTGTCTGCAGAGTAGTTGGTTTTCCACTTGAACTTGGGCGGCATACATTATTCATCCTCTCTCGTCTTCCCCCCTTCCCTGCCTATAAATACTCCTATGTTAGGAGCTTGAAGGAGTGCAATTTTTTCTCTTGTAAATTAGGAAGCTAGAACTTGGTTTGTAGGCTTAGACTACACCAAGAACTAGTAAGGAGCTTGTATGGAGGCTTTGACTCCCACTCATTTTGATTAATCTTAAATGTTTATTATATTTGCTTGTCTTACATCTTTTGGTTGAGGAAGTAATCCTCCATTTGTTGGTTGAGGAAGCAACCCTCCATTTGTTGGTTGAGGAAGCAATCCTCCATCTTTTGGTTGAGGAAACCACCTTCCAAGAGTAACTAGCTTTCTTCTACTTTTATTGTCTATGCATTTCACTTCCATTGCTTGAGCTTCCTTCTTTCCTAATAGAGTGAAACTCTTCCAGTTTTCTAGAGTTTTACCAAAGCCGTGAAGGGTGGAACGTGATTCACTTGTTCTTCATTGAAGATAAACTCTTTGTTTAGTTTGTTTCACTTAGTAGCTCCTCTACTTGGAGAGATGAGTATCACTCACTTTTCTACCTTTGCCAAAGCCATGAAAAGTGAATAGTTCCTCATTCACTCTTTAGTAAGAGGTGATGAATATGTAAAGATTATCTGGAAGTTATGTTTTTGCAACTCCTTTATGCTTTGATGCTTTATATTCCACTTACTCATTGGATGATTGAATGCATCTAGCAAAAATAAGGTACTTTATATAACCAAGGGCCCCTTCTATGATACGGATGACTTCTGCATAGAAATATCCGTTGGTTCAAGGCAAACACCCCGACTAGCTTTTCATGACAACCTTTCAATCTCTACAATTATTGTGCTTTATTTAAAGAATGAAACATTAATGTCATAGTTAGATGCCTTGTAGAAACACTTGCTTGTTTGTAGACGGGTTAAGTCTCGGCACAGAAAATTCTTGTAAACTTCTAGAAAGGCATCGGAATCATGTGCTTAATTCTCACAGTCCATCTTTATCTTCCGATTAACTTGCTGTTGATACAGGAATTAATTGAGTTATAAAGCACAAACATAATAAACCGGATAATCAATTACATGTTCTGATCTTCGAACTAAAGAGTGACTATTATCTCTGCTAATTTATCTTATATTTTGTCTAGAAAAAGATCCATTGCAAAGAATCTTATATTCTGTCCAAAAAACCCCACAACTTCAAATTCTCAAGACTTCCAGTTACTTGGTCTCTAGTATTGTTTACTTCAAAACAACAATCATAGTTTTCTATGGATTCGACTCTGGACTTAACTGGATTATTACTATAACTTGACCGCCTGCACTTTGGTATACACATTTCAGATCAAGCCAAGAGTACCTCAATTGAATTATTACAAAAGTTATTTCAGGAGATTGTTGAAATTTTTAGCTACATGTACTTGAGACGCCCAAGTAACACCGACATTTGTAAGTTGTTATCAAAAGGTGATAGAGTGGGTTCCATGAGATGCTTGATAGCATTGACTGTATGTATTGAAAGTGGAAGAATTGTTCAATCGCATGAAATGGTATGTATGCTTGAAAAGACTATCATGAGCTTTCGTTGATTCTTGAAACCGTTGCTTCATATGACCTTTGGATATGACAGGCTTGTTTTGGACTATCGGGATCACACAATGATGTCAATGTATTTGATCGCTCTCTTTTATTTTTCGACCTCGTTGAAAGCTGAGCTCTTATAGCTAATTACACAATGAATGGTCATAATTGCACAATAGGATACTATCTTGTCGATGGCATCTATCATTCTTGGGCGACATATGTGAAAACAATTTCATGCTTATAAGGGACAAAGGCAAAAAAATTTGATGCAGTTCAAGAGTCTGCAAGGAAAGACGTTGAACAAGCATTTTGAGTGCTACAAGCACATTTTGCAATAATTTGTAGGCCTGCTCGTTTTTGGGATCGTCAAACACTTCAATTGATTATGAAGACTTGTATTATAATGCAACATGATTTTTGAGGATGAACGCGACGAAAATCTTCCACTTAATTACAATGCAAACGAGAGTAAAAGTGAAAAATTTTCCACTTAATTATGATGCAAACGCTTTAGAATTTCAGGATTTTATTCGAAATAACATACAAATTTGCGATAGGAGAATACATTTTCACCTTCGAATTGATTTAGTTGAACATTTGTGGCATTGCCACGAGGATAGTAGTAATATACAAATTGGTTAGAATTTATGTTTTGAAATTATTCTTTTAAATATCGTTTAAATTTTATTAGTTAAGTTTAATAAGAATTTTAATTTTAATTAAAAATATAATTCTTTTCATATAAAATATATAATATTTTAAAATGTATTATTTTTTAATAATATTTATTTTAATTTATCCTAAAATTTATTTTAAATATATATTAAATTAATATTTAAAAGATATTTAACAATAAAAATTAAATAAAATAAAATATCTTGACATATTAATAAGAGTATACTCTTTTAAATTTAAATTTAAATTTAAATTTGACATATAACGTTTCTGCACTAACTTTAAGTTTAAATATTATATATTATAGGCTTTTAAATTTAAATTTGATATATAAAATTTGGACATCTCCATGACTCTTAAACCGAATACAGAGAGAGAGAGAGAGAGAGAGAGAGAGAGCGGCGAGAGGGACAACTGCGAGAGGGGAAGAAAACCTTCCATCAAATCTGAGTTTCGCCGAGTTTGGCGGCTGCTGGTTGCCTGGGAAGAAGGGCTGAGAGGCTGGGCTGTTGCTGCTTGCCTGGAAAGAAGGACTGAGACCTGCGCGAGAGACGAAGAGCAATTAGAGGAGGAAGAAGAAGAAGAGGGACTATCCGTACTCACTTTTCAGGTTTTTTTCGCAAATCCTTTCAATTCCTTCTCCCGTTCATATAATTGGGAAAGGGTGGGATTTAGGGTTGAATAATTGCTTCTGTTGCATGTGGGTTTCTTTGTCACTGATTTAGGGTTGCAAAATTGTTGGATTGCATGTTTCTTACGCTTAGGTGGGTTTTTCATTTTTCCTTTATTTCTTATTATTTCCTTTCTCATTTGGCTTATTCAGTCGCGAATCAAACTGAATTGATGAATCTGCAAGTGGGTCTAGTCTGATACTCCGGGTTGGGCCGATACCTTGAACTGATATTTGGTTGTTTTGTAAGTTGGTCTGCTGAAGAGCAATAATGGAAGAGTTGAAACCCAAACCTAGGAGGGAAGAGTCAGAAAGGAAGGATGAGATGAAGAGTCATCGCGACAGGGAGGGTCGTGAGCGCAACAGGGACAGGCACACTGCCAAGGACAAGGACAAAGACAGGAACCATCAGAAGAAGGATCGGGAGAGCCGGGCCTCGGAGAGGGAGAAGAGTATTGACGACAAGTACAGGGAAAGGGAGAAACACAAGGAAAGACATAGAGATAGGGACAAGGAGAAAGAAAGGACCAGAGAAAAGGGTCGGGATGATGAAAGAGCTACAGATAAGACAAAAGACAGAGAAGATAGAGATGGGGACAGAGGCAGGGAAGATAAAGAGAGGGAGAGAGAGAAGCGGAGTGAAAGCAGAGAGAGGGAAAGGGAGAGAGATCGTGAAGGTAGAGAGAGGGAGAGAGAAAGAGAGCGGGAGAAAGAAAGGGAGAGAGAGAAAGAGCGGGAGAGGAGGGAGAGGGAGCGTGAAAGAGAAAGGGAAAGGGAAAGGAGGGAGAGAGAGAGAGAAGAAAGGGATAGAGAGAGGGAGAGAGAGAGGGATAGGATCCGGGACAAGGAGAAGCGTAGAGAAATTGAAAAGGATTATAGTTTTGAGGATGGCGATGTTAGAGATCGTGACAGAAAGCGGCGTAGGAGGGAGGATGATAATAAGGACAGGGAGCATGAACGGAGCAGCAAGTCCAACAGGAACAGGGATGGGATTGAAGATGGTAGCCCTAGAAAAAGAAGTGATGAAGACTCATCATCAGACAATAAAGAGAAGACCCGAGAGGAGGATCTTGAGGAAGAACAACGGAAGTTGGACGAGGAGATGGAAAAGCGGAGGAGGAGAGTTCAGGAATGGCAGGAGTTGAGAAGGAAGAAGGAGGAATCTGAGAGGGAACAGGATGGAGTTCCAGCTAACAATGATGAACCCAAGTCTGGCAAGACATGGACCTTGGAAGGGGATTCTGATGATGATGAAGCTGTTCCTGAGGAGAAATTGGACATGGATATGAATGCGGATGAAGCTGCCAAGCCCATAGATGTAGATGGAGATGGCATGGTGATTGATTCGGAGAATGGGGTTGCTCTACCCCTTCCACAAAACCAGACTGATGGGGCTGATGGAGATGACGAAATTGATCCATTGGATGCTTTCATGAATTCTATGGTATTGCCCAAAGTCGTGAAACTAAACAATGTCGAGGCTCTTGCATCAGATGATAAGAATTCTGACTTGAATAATGATAATAGTGTCCCAATTCATGGGCAACAGCCTAGAAAACAAATGAACAAGTCTATGGGCAGAATCATTCCCGGTGAAGATTCTGATTCAGATTATGGGGATCGTGAGAATGAGGAAGATCCTTTGGATGACGAAGATGATGATGAATTTATGAAACGGGTGAAGAAGACTAAAGTTGAGAAGCTATCAATTGTTGACCATTCAAAAATTGAATATCCTCCATTCCGGAAAAATTTCTATATCGAAGTGAAGGAAATCTCAAGGATGACTCCTGAAGAAGTTGCCGCTTACAGGAAACAACTGGAATTAAAGCTATATGGAAAGGATGTGCCAAAGCCAATTAAAACTTGGCACCAGACCGGATTAGCTACTAAAATTTTGGAGACAATAAAGAAGCTAAACTATGACAAGCCAATGCCAATTCAAGCCCAGGCACTGCCAATAATTATGAGCGGTCGAGACTGCATAGGTGTTGCGAAGACAGGCTCCGGCAAAACACTAGCATTTGTGTTGCCCATGTTGAGGCATATCAAGGACCAGCCACCATTGATGTCTGGAGATGGGCCTATTGGGCTTATAATGGCACCTACAAGAGAGCTTGTTCAGCAAATCCACAATGACATCAAGAAGTTTGCAAAAGTAATGGGTATCGGCTGTGTGCCTGTATATGGAGGTTCTGGTGTTGCTCAACAAATTAGTGAATTGAAAAGAGGCACTGAGATTGTTGTCTGCACCCCAGGTAGGATGATTGATATACTTTGTACGAGTGGTGGGAAAATAACAAATCTCCGTAGGATCACCTACTTGGTCATGGATGAAGCTGATAGAATGTTTGATATGGGTTTTGAGCCTCAGATCACACGGATTGTCCAAAATACTCGACCTGACCGACAAACTGTACTGTTTTCTGCTACTTTCCCTCGTCAGGTTGAAATATTGGCACGCAAAGTGTTGAACAAACCTGTGGAAATTCAGGTAGGCGGCAGGAGTGTGGTCAATAAAGACATAACACAGTTGGTTGAGGTGAGACCTGAAGATGAAAGGTTCCTTAGATTGTTAGAGCTACTAGGAGAGTGGTATGAGAAGGGAAAAATTTTAATATTTGTCCATTCACAGGAGAAATGTGATGCGTTGTTCAGGGATTTGCTTAAGCATGGATATCCTTGCCTTTCACTGCATGGGGCCAAGGATCAGACAGATCGCGAATCCACCATTTCTGATTTTAAGAGTAACGTATGCAATTTGTTGATTGCTACAAGTATTGCTGCCAGGGGTTTAGATGTAAAGGAGCTTGAACTAGTGATCAACTTTGATGTTCCCAACCACTATGAAGACTATGTTCACCGTGTTGGTCGTACTGGTAGAGCAGGCCGGAAAGGCTGTGCTATCACATTTATATCTGAAGAAGATGCAAGATATGCACCAGATCTTGTAAAAGCCTTGGAACTATCTGACCAAGTTGTTCCTGAAGACCTGCAAGTTCTTGCAAATGGTTTCATGGCAAAGGTGAATCAGGGACTTGAGCAAGCCCATGGGACTGGTTACGGTGGAAGTGGTTTTAAATTTAATGAAGAGGAAGATGAAGTGAGGAAAGCAGCAAAGAAAGCACAGGCCAAAGAATATGGTTTTGAGGAAGATAAATCAGACTCAGATGATGAAGATGATGGGGTGCGAAAGGCAGGTGGTGACATCTCACAGCAAGCTGTCCTCGCTCAGGTTGCTGCCCTTGCTGCTGCCACTAGGGCGAATACAGCTGCGTTGCCAACACAGGTCGCAGCTGCTCAACTGCTTCCCAATGGTGGATTGCCTGTTTCTCTGCCAGGGGTTCTTGGTCTATCAGTACCTGGTCCAACTGCAGTTATGAATGGGACTGCACTGCCAATTGCCGCCAATGATGGGGCAGCTAGGGCCGCAGCATTAGCAGCTGCCATGAACTTGCAGCATAACTTGGCAAGGATTCAGGCCGATGCTATGCCTGAACATTATGAAGCAGAGTTGGAGATAAATGATTTTCCTCAAAATGCTCGTTGGAAGGTAACACACAAGGAAACATTGGGTCCGATTTCAGAATGGACTGGAGCTGCTATTACAACTAGGGGGCAGTATCATCCACCTGGTAGGATCCCAGGACCGGGTGAAAGAAAGCTTTACTTGTTTATTGAGGGCCCTACTGAACAGTCAGTCAAGAGGGCGAAAACTGAATTGAAACGTGTGTTGGAGGACATCACAATGCAAGCATCATCACTTCCAGGTTCAGCTCAACCAGGCCGCTACACGGTTGTGTAAGAACTAGACACGATCTCTGTATGGTGGTGTATTATTTCTTGCTCGGTATACTAAAGTAGTTTATCTATATCGAGTGTGGGAATTGTTTATGGTAGACCCATCTCATCTTTTGGCTGGTTGAATGTAATGGGACTTGTATGTGATCCATTCTTTTTTGAATTATTGTAGTTCACTTACATTTTTTCTTCATATATGAGTATGACTTTCACTTGATGTAGAAACATTAAGAGATACTGGAATTATGATGATGCATATCATTCTATTTTCTGGATCACGAGTTGGTGACTGAGCACTTTAATGTGATTGATGATAAACTAGGAGCTAGTCAGTGCACACATTGTTCATGTTATTGATGATAAACTAGTATTGCTCAAGCAATACTTTTCATTTTCATACCAGGGTGATTGTTAGAGGCTGAATAGAATGCTGGTTATAGTTTGCTGCTTATTTCAGCCATTTTTGGCACAATTTGTTTCTGCTAATCATAAATTGAAATGCCAACTACAAATGCCTCAGAAGTTTAGAGAAGTATGCAGCATATTATACATGCTATACAGGGGATGCTGAAATTTAAGCTCTTGTTGTCTGAACTGTGTCTTAGACTTGGAGTGAAGGCAAGTGTTCATTTGTCCAGCGTCATATCATGGATTCAAGTTTGAGGATCAGCTTCTCCATTGTAAGGGTAAGAGTGTTTATCACTTATCTCTTCTAAACTCGTTCTAGGCTGGAACATTTTTTGCATTTTTTGTTTCCTTATTTATTTGCATGAAATGTCTGGGAATCTTAGCTTGTGCCTTGCACTTTTTCACTTATCAATATGACTGCTTTGCACATCGAATGCACACTCAACCAGTTGAGATATAACTGTAAAAGATTCTTGGGGGCGGCCATTATTCTGGTGGAATAAAGCACCTTATCTTGAAAGAATGACAACTCAATATCCAATTGGGTAGGTCTGACTTTTCCAAGGTGCCAACTAGGATAAAAGTTTTCAAATGTGCCATTACAATTATGGCGTGAAGATAGGATGAGCTACTTGGGAACTCTTTGGAAACCCTTCGAATTTTGAATTGTAAATAGCCAAATACAATCTAGAAGTAGGCTTTCTTTTACTAGGGTGTGCACAGAACTGAAGCTATGTAGGAAATTCCTCGACCGTCAAAATTAAGCTAGAAAATGGTGTGATCCATGAAATTAAGGTGGAATGCCCATGGAAGACCCCAGCTGCTCTAAATGCAAGTTTTTGGCAGTTCTTCTCTTTGGTGCCCTCTAACCCCAAGACAACCTGCTTCCCACACATGGAAGAGGAGAGTGGTAAGGGTAAGGAAGTGAACTTAATGGAAGGTGGGAAACAGACCAATGGAAAAGGGGAAGAAAACAGTGAACCCTCTTCTAGACTACGAGTCTGGGCTTTTAGCTTTTTTCTTGCACTTTCATGTAAGTTATACCATATGTAGGGAGCACCCATCTGCGGGTTGGGTACTTGGTTTATATTTACAGGTTGAAGACGGGTTGGGGAATATCACTCTAATTAATTAAGCGGGTTAATGTGAGTTGGGCATGGGTATCCGACGGATGAAATTTATGGAAATAACTATACTTGGGAGTGTTTTCAATACGTCGCGTGATGTTTTAATACTACCATCACTGCAGTAGATCCTAGAAGCTAGTGAGTTTTAAGCTTTGGAAGTAAATAAATAAAGAAGGGCATCGGTGGTGCCAGTGTGTTTTGTGTTTGTGTAGCTTTGTGTAGTTTTTATCAATGCATTTTTGGACATATCAGTGTGTTTGTTACTGTGCACCAGTGTGTGTGTACCACAGCTCCATGCATCAGGCTGTGTGCATGTTGGGTTCTCTGAATTTGTTGTGTTTTCTGGTATATCTGGTGTGTGTAGTTGTTTGTATTTTTTTATCAATTTTTTTTTTTGTGTTTTAGGCGTATCACTATGTTTATGACTTTGTGTGCACTTGTGTGTTTATATGAAGCGCAGCTCCGTGCATCGGTGTGTCTGCGTGTTGGGTTCTGTGAATTGGTTGTGTGTGTTTTTTTCATGTATTCTAGCAGTTTTATAAGTGTGAGCATTTTAAGATTTTTTATTATACGTATGTGGGTTGATGGGTTAAGCGGGGGAAAGTGAACTTGAATAGAATTACACATCACACTTTATCAACCCGTCCATTTTTCATTGCTAACCATATTCATATGATAAGCGATAAAGTTATATATTAAAATCTTGTTATTTGTAGTAAAACTCAATATATTATTTAATAAAAATTAGTTATTTTTTATTTTAATGAGAATATATGTGGATAAAATGTTTGTATTATATTAAATGTATAATATGTACTAGTGATAACACGTAACTAAACTTACAGTACACTAAATTATTATATTGTGTATGCATTGGAATGTGTGTTGGACTGTGTGTATGTATATGCAGCTATGTGTTATAGAGTGTGTTGGGTTTTTGAAATTTTTTTTAGGGGGGGGGGGAATGTGTGTTAGGTGTGTGAGATTTTTTTTTTTTGGGGGGAGAGAGAAATATACCCCCATAAGTTCAAACACCTATCAGAATTATTATATAGATGTTTGTCTTTTATTTTATATTGTAGATAATTTAGTGTATAGAGTTCAGGTTATGCACAGAAGATCAGATTATTGAATCTTTGTATAAAATGAGTACAGTTTTATAGTCTTAGATGAAATTGAACACGCCATCAATAAAATTTTAATGCAATTTTTTGACAGTCTTTCTTAGTTATAAGAGACTGTCTGATGTCTCGAATTATTATATTAGTACACTTTGTGTATTGAACATGACAATTTTTAAGATTATTATTCTCACTTGCCAAATATCCAATGGAAAATGAAGCTTCAAAAAACTAGAAATTTTTTTTGCTAGATGAAAATGATTTGAGGAAGCTTTATGAGATGAAGAACTCCAAGGCTGGCACCTCTACTTCTCTCAAGCCTACAATGCTAACTAAATCCCACAACCAGTTAACTTGACACTAACCCAATCTCAAAAGATGAGCAACCCAATCTCAAAAGATGAGCAATCCAAGTGATATGAATGGAAACCTTCTTAGGAGCATGGTATTTAAACTACTTAGCATTGGATATGTGCCTTGATTTACATTGAATTCTATTTTTGGGGGTTAAGTTACATTATATTTTAAATGTTTACGTATTATTAGTGTTGATTCTAACCTTTTGGAATGTAAGAGGTTTATAGAAGTTCTAGTTAATGTTTATGTTTTGGGAAAAGAAAAGAGAATACATTGAAAAAAATTGACCCTACATTGGATCATTGTCAATTTTTAGCAAGGTTGAAATCAATTTGACCCACTACTTTTCAAAAAAAATTGGACAGGACTTGTAGGGGGTTGTTTCTTTTAGAGGTCAACCACTATTATTTACATAAGTCCGAAGCTGAGGGAAAGTATACATTTTATGGGAATGGATTCGTCAATGCCACGTGAGACGGTATACACCCTTTTTAAAGTGGTTTATGATGTGATCCAGCAGAGAATGGTTAAGGTTGTTTTTGTTTGTGATGGATGAACAAGGTAGGTTCATTGTGTAAATTCCTAAAACGTGACTAACATACACGAGACATCTGAGATAATGTTTATATAATTATTCATTATTTACTCTGATTCATAATGCTTACTTTTGTTATCAAATTATTGTATTCCACAAACTTGAGATCGTTATAACTGACATTGTTTTAATTCCAAAAGTTATATATGATATTTTTTTTTTAAAAAAAAGAGTCTTTCTTGTTTTATGCTTTAAAAATCTTTTTTGAATTTGAAAGGGATTTCCTACGGGCTTTGAGACAAAGGTTGATCAGGATGGAGATCTTAGAGCTGAGGCTTAGAGTTGTTCTTTCACTATATGGATTTTTAGAATGAATTCCTTGGTGATGTGCTGAACATTCGATAATTGGTAATTAATTTTGAGACTCTTAGTATTATTTAAATATTTCGGATGTAAACTTGGGGATTTACTTTAGTTAGCTTTGAGATTTTTACTTATCTATGGTGAATGTCGAATGGTTTTGATATATGGTTGGAGGTTTTTTAGTTGCTCTCATGATTAGATGGTCTGTAGATAGTTAATGCCAAATTATGGAATTTGGGGTGTTACAAGTTTGGTATCAAGTTTGGTATCAGAGTTTAGGCATTAGGTCTTACATGGAAGATGTATGTTATGAACTATCACTAGAATTTTAGGTTAGCTTAAAAGAACATTAGACTCAAATCATTTGGAAATGATACGTTTAAACATTTAGTTTGAGTTGATGTCGATAATTGGGTAAGGAAACTAAACTGTGCCTGATGTGCAGAATGAACGGTAGAAGAGGACATGGACGCCAGGTAACCAAGCTAGAATTCAACCACCACATGAAGCCATGAATGGTGTATACTTGTGCCTAAGGGAATTGACCACCTTGGCACAAAATCAGAATGGAAACAACCACCAGAACGGGTTTGCACAGCCGTTGGCCGTAGATCCGACTTTAACCAAGAGTCTAGGAGGATGAATGTATTTAGAGAATTCTTAAGGCAGCACCTACCCACTTTTCAAGGGAGTTCTAATCCAATTGATACAGATAAATGGATTAGAATAAGTAGGAAGATGTGTGTGATAGTATGGGGATTGCTGCAAATCTTCGGGTTGGGCAAACTACCTATTTGTTCAATATAGAGGCAGATCACCGGTGGGATTCCTTGAAGAGGATGAATGATGTGGATATGATGACTTGGGAGGCCTTCGATCATATTTTTTAAGATAAATATTTTCTAGAATTGGTAAAGGATATGATAAGTGCAGTTTTCTTGGCCTTGAAGTAGGGGGAGTATGACGGTGGCTGAATATGAAGTGAAGTTTGATGAACCGTCTTGCTATGCGACAAATTTTTTTATCTACTGATGCAAGAAGGGGCAAACGATTTGAGTAGGGGTTAAGGCCTACTACCCGAGAGAAATTGGTTGCACTCAAGATTCGGGAGTACATGGATATTGTGGATCGAACAAATTTGGTGGAGAGAGACACAGAGGAGGCACAAAGGTAGACATTTACTAGAAGAGGCCCCTTGAGAACAGGCAACCATAGTGGAGCGATATAGAGGGAAACTCCATATAGTTGGCCTGACTAGACATTGAGGCGAAGGGGTCAATTAGTTAGAGGGACTGGGGGTACACAGGATAGGGCAGTTGCAGATCCGCGTCAATGTTTTGCTTGTGG